TCTGCCCCACTTGATGGTCCTTGATATACAACAATTGCCTCCTCTAGGGTTCCAGCCACGGTGGATATCTTTGCTTGCATCCCTGCCCGAGGCTCATTTTACACATTTCTGTCTATGGTATGTAACACTCACACTTCTGCCCTCCCAATTCTCTTCCTAGCCTGGCTGGGTGTAGGTTTGGCTGTCAGCTGTGGTCCCCAGCACAGAGCACAGGACAGATGGCAAAGCAATAGACACCTGACAAAAACCACAGGCTGGTACTTGTGGAGTGAACACACACTCTGTTTTCACTCTCAATAGTCTGCTGCTTTAGCAACAGTTTCCAAGATTTTGACATTTAAAAATCCTGAAGTCCATGACAAGAGCCTCGAGAAAGACTGCAGACTTTAAGTACTTTTACTGAACAAGTGTGGAATTAAGGCACTTTCGCCTAGACTTTAGTTCTAACCTCAAGGCAGCCATCTTTGCTAAATCATTGCAAGAGCCATATAGCATTGTTCACACATCATAATATTGAGAAAGTTTCCAGGACAATGTGCAACTGGTATGCAGGGGGCTCTCCTCACAAAGGTTTCCAAGGTAACCTTAAGGGTTGGTAGCATTAAGGGAGCTTGATGTTCTGACTCTAAGAGGAAGCTACACAGAGGTGGAATAGAGTGGAGATACTGTGGCAAGCTCTGTATACATAAAGTAACCGGGAGCCACCAAGGAGCCAGTTAACTGCATATTCACTACCCTGGGCCAAGAGTCATCTTTTGATAGGTACCGTCCTTTGTGTGAACTATGCTCATTATAATCTCATTATAATACCAAAACACACCTTCATCCCAAAAGCTACCTGCCTCCAATATGCGACCACCCCTCTCTGAGCTTGCGCCTTAAATTTTTATAGTCTATATCTTTAAAAGGAAACAAGGAAACAAGGAAAATTTACACTAACCACAATAAAGATATGCATGATGAGAGTCACTCAAGCTCCACCTGAAAGGTGACAAATAGTATAAAAAGGCCCAAGAGAAGGGGGAATACTAGGGAAGATTCCACCATTGTCAGAGGAGATACCATCACGGATCACCTCTGACTCCTGGGATCAGTCAATGGGCTGAGCCTCTCTCACCCCCTATAGGGATGTCTTTGGGCAAGATTCAAACACTTGGTCTCACCAAGTGCTGCCCTGGATACTTAGGAAATCTTTATAGAGCTGCTCATAATCTAATACAATTGTAACTTTTGCATATGCTTTGCAGACAGTCACAATCACTAGCAATCAAAATGAATTTGTGTATCTGTTGCTTCAATAAACTATATTTAATTCTGACCTGGCCATGTGAGTCCCTGTTGGCACTGGCACATCCCAAGTTTGGCTGTGTGATGCTGTCACTCTCATGAAGGCTGGCCGAGTGAGTCCAGGGGTGCTGCCAGACCGAAAGTGCCTTGGCGCACCTCGTTAGAAGTCTGGAATATTAACGCTGAATTGAGCACCACTCAGAAGCTAAGCCTAGCTGCCCCCAGCTCCTCTGATATCTGAGGACAAGCTGGAATGCAAGGCAATTTAGCTCCTGTCAAACTGATTCACCTCTTTTGCACAACAGAAAGTATTGCCTCTTTTTATTTGTTTGCAACAGAAATTGTTGCCTCTTTTTTGATGTGACAGAAAGGTAAAAATTTGTGCTTCCACTAGAGCAGCAGAATGGGTCAAAATAAGGTTTGTAGAACATTATGAGCTAAAAAAATCTAACTTCTGCTACATAACATGGTATTTATTTTTTTTTTCATTTATTTCAAAATAATTCTGCTGAGGGAACAAAGTTTCCCACAAGGCTGAATTCTCACCTCATCTTTAGACCAGAATCCCAGCATGGACTGAGGGGCTTAGAGCATTAAACATCAAACTCCTCCCAGTGTTCTGTTTTCATGTCATTTAATTATGCAAAAATGAAGGAGGTGTTCACAAAACTGAAGGAATTCACACAGAAATCTTCATAAGCATTTCAAGTGTACAAAATGCACCTTTCCCTCTGCTCTTTC